AACAAAGACTTCTTAAGAAAACTGCGACCAACATTAAAATTTCACGTTCGGCTAACGGTAAATTTGTAATAGAACATTTTTGCAAACTCGCGCAGTATTTTTTTCTCGGGTTTGAATTTTTATTGAATAAAGTGTCAAAGTAGCGAATATAATAATTTAGTTAATCAAAATATTTCTTATGTAAAAAAAAAAATCAAATTAATTTCCTTAGGTATATAACAAATATTGCGAACATCATATAAAAACGATTATAATAATATTGCGTACATTTTAAAGACAAAAATATTTAACAGTAAAACGCTTCTTCTTATCAAGTATAAAATTTATAGAATATAGGAAAAAACGAGTCGCTGAACTATCTGATGTTTTTTTCTGTCCCTATTTTAATGTCTATATTTTTACTCCGTTTCACAAAAATTTTTAATTACACTCTTATAAAAAAACATGTTTAAAAAGAAACAAACGTGTATTTTTTTGGAAGGGCCTTAAATAATAGTGGAACTAGTCCAATTGCAAAAAGATTCATTAACGAATTTTTTTTTATCTCTCATTAAAATTTATTAAAAATACATAAGAGGATACAGAAAACGGGTCACGGTTCCTAGTTATAGCAAATAAGTTAGCTCTATTGGTTTGATTTTATCTTAAAGTTTAATTTTATTCTGTAAAGAATATATCAGTACGAAGTAACAATTTAAAAGAGAAAAAATATTAACATAACTAAAGTCTCTTTAACAGAGATGACATTTGCTTAACATTTCTTCCAGTATTTTTTGAGGCTGTAAAATTAATAAAATTTTTAATTTATTAATATTTTAAAGGCCTCACATTTTCCTTATAAAGCATAAGGAAGATATAGAAACGGGTCACGGATCCTAGTTATGTCAAATAAGTTAGCTCTATTTGTTTGACATTTTTTAAAGCAACTTTTCTGCAACAAATTCTCAACTAATTCTTTCAAGTTATTTTTAACACCAGTTTTAGCAAATTATTAAACTAATATAGCTATGATTTGTACCGAAAATCTCGATCCGTATTTACCAAGGTAATAAAAGTATAAACGGTCTCTATTCATATATAAAAACATAACGAAAATATAAAGAAAAACAAAGCAAAACGAACAATGTATGTAATACAACACTATAACTTCAATGAGAAAAAATTTACAAATTTATGTGAGAAGCAAAACACATTTTTCTTGAGATAAAAAAAAAAAATTTACGTTAAAAAAAAAAATTTTTTTTTTAAATATTATATTTAACATTAAAAAGTTCGGAAGTACTTTATAAAATCAAATGGAATTGTTTTTTTATTGTATAGCCTTTAGTAAATAGTATAAAAATTAACAAAACTTCCTTTTGGCTTTTAGAAAACGATCAACAATAAGAGAAGGAATTCAACCTAAAAATGTAACAAAATTATTGAAAACACTTATTACACATGAATGTATACG